GCCTGGGCAGGAGGGCCTGGCCCCAGCTTCTGTGCAGAGGGCGAGACTGTGGTCCCTGGAGGAGAAGCCGAGGGCACGTTCTCAGGTTCCCGGTCAGTGGGCCTGGGCCCAGCAGCTGTGTCTTGGCCTGGCCCCAGGTCCCACGTCCCTGGGGACTGAGCTCATTGACAAGAAATGCAGTCCCTGGCCAAGGCGGCCGGCAGGGGCAGGGAGAAGGCTCAAGCCCACCCTACCCCCACCATGTTGGGAACTGGGCGGCAGCCTGCTGCGAGGCCGTGGGAATGGTCTCTCCGACTGTGCTGTCCCCCAGGGGTCCAGATACCTTGGGCTGGTCCTGCCACTGTGGCTGGAGGGCAGCAGCAGGAACCTGGAGCCAGGACCCCCACCATCTGCTCGCTGAGTGGGTGCCCTCGGAGTCATGGGGGCTTCCGAAAGGGGCTGGCACACAGTAGGGGCTTTCTTCCTGTTGTCCCCACTCCCCCATACTGCCCTCAGCCTTGAGTTCACCATTCCTGCTCCGTCTCTGTCTCTGTCTGCCACAGATCAGGGGCCGCTGGATCAGCAGAGTCACAGACTCTGGACTTCCTGCCTAGCAAAATGTGTGAGCAGGTTCCTTGGCTGTTCCTTGTGACATGGAGCTCAGCAACTCCTAGACCATCCATTTCAGCAGAAAATGCATTCTCAGATGGGTCAGGGAAAAAGCTAGCTCCCTCCTGAAGCCCCTACATTTGCACTAGACTACCAGACCCTTTTCTGGACCCCCAGACCCCAGCAACCCTGGTGGTCTAGTGGTTAAGATTTGGTGCCCTCACCCCCATGGCCTGGGTTTGTTTCCCAGTCAGGGAACCACACCACCCTCTGTCGGTTGTCATATTGTGGCAGCTGCATGTTGCTGGGATGCTGAAAGCTCTGCCACCAGTAGTTCAAACACCAGCAGGGTCCCCCATGGTGGACAGGTTTCAGCAGAGCTTCCAGAATAAGACAGACTAGGAAGAAGGACCTAGTCACCCACTTCCAAAAAATTAGCGATGAAAACCCTATAAATAGCAGCAGAGCATTGTCTGATATAGCACCAGAAGATGAGAGGATGGTGTAAAAAGATTGGGCAGGGTTCCGCTCTGCTGTCCACAGGGTCGCTAGGAGTCGGAAGTGACTCAACAGCACTAACAACAACAAAGACCCCCAGAATGGCACTGAAGAGAGTGGTCTGGGCCCCCTGTGGCGGCTCTCCTGGGCTGGGGATCCCAACTCCTCCAGCCACTTCTTGAGTCACTAAACCCACCTTCCTCTATGCCCACCCCATGCTGGGTGATGCCTGGCCCCAGTCTCGAGAGGGAGACAGGGCAGGACACAGACACCCTCAGCCCCTTGTGGACGAGGCTGAGCCAGAGGGCAGGAGGGCTCTGGGAGAGCCCGGCATCAGGCAGAGAGGGCTTCCTGGAGCTGCTATCTTGAAGAATGAACAGGAGTTCACTAGGTACAGGAATGGGGGGAGTGGAGGCATGCTAGAAAGAGGGACCAGCATAGGCACAGGGAAATGTGCGGGAAAGAGCAGAGCATTCCCCATAACTAGAAGAAAATGCATTTTTGAAGAGAACACATTTGCTGTGAGTTCCTGCTTAGGGAGGAAGCAAAAGGATCCTTCTAACTAGCAGGGTGTCCCGGGCCGAGGGAAGAACCGGAGCAAAGGCCGTGAGAACGCAGAGGTCAGTGCGATGAGGAAAGGGGCAAGAGGGGCTGAGGCCCAAGTCCCCCAGGCTGGACGGCTTGGATTCCACCACTCCTGTGGTGATGGGCATGGGCAAAGACTTAAGCCGTGCCTGCGCCACAGGCCTGCTGACTCTGCACACTCACTGTGAGTCAGGCTGTGCCCCTTCTTACACAACTTCTGTTTTTTCCTCTGCCCAATCTCCAACCTCAACCCCTACCCCTTGCACTCCAAGTGGCCCAGAGTCACTCAGACCTGAGTTCAGATCTCAGCTCTTCCTCTAGGAAGTCACCATAAGATGGGCAGAGACCCCCCCCCCAACCCATGGGGGCTGCTTCCATGAGATGGGTGGATGGCTCCCCTCCCAGATTGGGGCTGAACTCATACGATGGGAGTGGCAGAGCATCCTCAGTTCCTGTCCCCTGAGGCTGGGCTCAGCAGGGCTGAGGGTCATCTCTGATGCCGGGCCCTGGTCAGCCATTCATCTTTCCCCCTTGGCTCTTTGTGCTTCTCCTTTCTAGCAGGTCTTCTCTGCCTCCTTCGCCTCTTCCTCTTCCAGCCTTTAAAAGTCACCCAAGGTATGAATGGATGAATGGGTAAGCAAAAGGTGGTAGAGCCATTCAATGGAATATCACTTAGCCATAAAAAGGAATGAAGTACTGATACATGCTGCAACGTGGATGAACCTCAAAAACATTATGCTCAGTAAAAAAAGCAGACACAAGGGGCTGGCCTGGTGGCATAGTGGTTAAGTTTGCACCCTCTGCTTCTGCAGCCCGGGGTTCACAGGTTCAGATCCTGGGTGAGGACCAACGCACCACTCATCAAGCCATGCTGTGGCAGGCATCTCATATATAAAATAGAGGAAGATTGGCAACTGATGTTAGCTCAGGGCTAATCTTCCTCACCAAAAAAAAAAAAAAAAAAGCAGACAGAAAAGGCCACACACTGTATGATTCCATGTATATAAAATATCCAGAACAGGCAAATCCGTAGAGACAGAATCAGTGGTTGCCAGGGGCTTGGGAATGGGGAAATTGGGAGTGACTGCTAATGGGTTCAAGGTTTCCTTTAGAGGTGATGGAAATGTCTTGGAACTAGATAGAGGTGACGGTTGCACTAAATGCCACTGAACTGTACACTTTAAAATGGTAAGTGGTTAATTTTATGTTATGCGAATTTTATTTCAATTAAAAAATATCATCAGAAGAAATCATCAATAAATGCCAAGATCAGTGGGTGAAAGTTTGATGGGCACCAGGATATTCACAGTCTCAAAGTGCCTCCCCACACAATATGGATATTCATTCATTACAAGGCAGGAGGACGGAAAGAGAATGGTACCTTTACTGTCTACAGAGAGACCTGGCCAACCTCACTGAAGTGATCGAAGTTTAACATCACCAGTGTTGGGAACCAACATCTGGGGCCTCCTGATATGATGCACCGGGGAGGACCAGCATGGCTCCTGCGGACCCTGCCGAAGACACACAACCTGAACCTGGACATGAGGAACCAGCAGGCCAGCACGCTGGGGGGCGTCCTACTAAACAAGTGGCCTCAACTCTCCAAAAATGTTAACGTCGTGAAAGACACGGAAAGGCTGAGGAACTGATTCAGATTACGGGACACCAAGAGACATTGTGATTAACTGCAACATGTGATTGAGGATTAGATCCTGGATCAGCAAAGAAACATGCTCTAGAGGACATTATCGGAGCAGTGGAGAACTGTGGACACAGGCTGAGGGTGAAACTGTGGGATGTTTAGTGAGAGAACGCCCTTGTTTTTAGGAAACACATAGTGATGAATTTAGGGGCAAAGGAATATCATGTCTGCAACTTATTCTCAAAGGAAAAAAAGTATATAGATAGATGAGTATATATATATAAAATTATAAAGCAAATGTGGCACAGTATAGGCAGAGTTGATGAATCTGGACAAAAGACACATGGAAATGGCACTATTCTGCATTTAAAATTATTTTAAAATAAAAAGTTTAAAAATTACCTGAAGATCTCTGGGGTGCCCATGTGACTATCTCCCACCACGGCTCCACCATGCTCAGCTGCCTCGTGGGTGACCCCCAGGCTCCTCAGATTCAGCACCTCACCCCCAGTGCATCCCTCCTCCCTGCAAAGGCAAACACCAGGGGGTGAGCCTGGCCTCTTTCTCCTCCTCCTGCTCATGGCCGCCAGACCTGTGGCCTGCCCACTCTCCCTCCCAACGCTGCCCTCTCTTCTTGGTGCAGGCCTGTCCCTCTGCTGGGATATCTTCCCTCCAGTTCCTCCAGGCTGAGCCCTCCTCTGGGAAGCCCTCTCTGGGGAGGAAGGTGTACCCCCAGCCCTGGAACAAAGCCGGACAGAGAGCTGGAGCTTTATACTCACTTGTTGAATAAATGAATGAACAAACAAGAAACTCCTCTGGGTGCCCTCCCCAGACTCTGTCCCTGCCTCTGGCCCAGCCCTGAGCCTGCAGTGCTGGGGGTGTCTGTGTCTGGCTCTTTCTTCCTCAGACTGAGGGCTCCTCCAGTGCTGGGCGTGGGATCTTTCCTGGCGGGGGGTGGGGGGGGCATTCTCACCACCAGGACAGAGTGAGCTGTAGGGCAGCTTGGCAGCATGACTGATTCTGGAAAACACAGTTGATCAAATTGGGCAAGACCAAGGGCAAAGCTGTGTAGGGTATGGGGTGGGGCTGGGGGGCTGGGGTGGACCTTTGGGGTTCACAGGTGGTAGTGAGGAAAGGGGTTGCTTTCCGGGAGGGCTGAGAGTAAGAAGGAGTGTGTGTGTTTGCCCACATGCATGAGACTCCCAGTGTGAGGTCGGAGGCTGCAAATGCTGTCCCCAGGCTCCAGGCCTGGCTGGGCCTGAGTTTTGGGTGTTTCAGATTTTAAGGCCCATGAAGCTCTGTGCATGCGTCTGCGTTTGTGCATCGTGCTGTTTTCATGAGCCTCTCAGGATGTGCCTGGTCACAGTTTCAGGGTGTCTGGGGGTCTGTGTTGGTGTCGTGGCTCTCTGTGTCCCGGGCTCTGGGTGTATGTTGGGAGCGGGGGTGTTCATGAGGCCTGGGTGTGTCTGCCACTGCGGGTTCCGGCCTCGTCTCACGGCATGCTCGGCCTGAGTTTCCGAGGGTCTGCGGGACCCCAGATGTGTGGGTGGAGGGTGGGCAGGGACCCCGGGAGGCCGGGCGAGGAGCGGGGAGCGCAGGGCCGGCCCCGGGGCGGGGCGAGCGGCCGAGGGCTGGGGGCGGGGCGGCCCGACACACTCAGTTCGGCGAAGTTGGCGGCGCGGAGGCTGGCCCTGGACGCGCCCGGAGCTCAGGGAAGCAGGGAGGAGGGGGTAGGGAGGGTCTCTGCCGGCAGCCATGGGGCCGGGGGTCCGGGGCCGCCGCCGTCGCCCGATGTCGCCGCGGCCACCGCCACTGCCGTCCGTGCGGGCGCTGCCCCTATTGCTGCTGCTAGCGGGGCCGGGGGCTGCAGGTGAGGGGCCGGGACCTGGCGGG